GCTTAGTCAGTAGAGCCTCCAGCTCTCAATCTTGGAGTCATGAGTTCAAGCCCCTCATTGCACATGGAGGCTATTTAAAAACAAACAAACAAACAAACAAAAGTAACACTATACGATTTCTTGTGCAGCCAGGACCTCAGAACATTTTTGCACCATTCACTTCTCCTGTCTTCTGTGCCATTGACAGATGCTGCATTTTCTTTTCTTTTTACTTACTTACTCATTTGCTTATTTATTTAAAGTTGGCTCCCTGCCTAGCATGAAGCCCAACATGGGGCTTGATCTCATGACCCTGAGATCAAGACCTAAGCTGAGATCAAGAGTCAGACACTTAACTGAGCCACCCAGGCACCCCTGCTGCTGCATTTTAAATCCCAGAAGTCGTTATGATTGTTTTGTACAGTCAGTATTCTTTCAGGTTTCCCTGCATATTTACTCTTTCTGATGCACTTCATTCCTTGCAATTCAGTGCTCCTCTCAGGTCATTTTCCTTCTGTCAAAAGTACTCCCTTTAATATTTCTGAAAGTACAGATTTCCTGATAACCAATTTTACCAACTTTTCTTCTTCTGACCAAGTTTTTCTTTGAAGGCTAATTTTTTTTTTTTTTTTAAGATTTATTTGAGAGAGAGAGAGAGTACGTGAGCAAGGGATGAAGGGGTGGCCAGAAGAAGAGGGGAGAGAGAATCCCAAGCGGGCTTCCCACTGAGCACAAAGCCTAATGCAGGGATCAGTCCTACAATCCTGAGATCATGACACAAGCTGAAATCAAGCATCAGACCCTTAACCAGCTGAGCCACCCAGGCACCCCTCTTTGTTTTTGTTAAGATTTTATTTATTTATTCATGAGATACACATAGAAAGAGGCAAAGAGGGATCCCTGGGTGGCGCAGCGGTTTGGCGCCTGCCTTTGGCCCAGGGCGCGATCCGGGAGACCCGGGATCGAATCCCACGTCGGGCTCCCGGTGCATGGAGCCTGCTTCTCCCTCTGCCTGTGTCTCTGCCTCTCTCTCTCTCTGTGACTATCATAACTAAATAAAAAAAAAAAAAAAAATTAAAAAAAAAAAAAAAAAAAAAAAAGAAAGAGGCAAAGACATAGGCAGAGGAAGAAGCAGGCTCCCCGTGGAGAGCCTGATGCAGGACTTGATCCCGGGACCCCAGGATCACAACCTGTGCCAAAGGCAGACACTCCACCACCAAGCCATCCAGGCGTCCCTCTTTGAAGGCTGTTTTATCTAGACTTATCATTCTGGTGTGGCATTCTAACTACTGTTGGCATTACCCATAAATCTTACCCATTACCCATTGTCTTACGGTTTCCATTGTTTGTGTGGAGAAGTCAGCTGTCCATTGTATGTATTCCTTTGATGGTCAGGTGTCTAATTTAAGAATTTCTTTTTGTCCTTGGTGTTTAGTAGTGTGTAAATGATTTGCCTAGGTGTGCTCATCTTTGGAGTTGCTAGTGTTTCTTTAGTTTGCATATGGCTTGATGTTTTCTACTTATTTTGTGACATTTTGTTATTATCTCTTTAAATACTGCTTCCAGGACTCTCATTACCTGTTATGCTGGATCTTTCTGCCACGTCCCATGGGTCTTTCACGTTCTTGTTTGTATTTCCTGACTGCTGCTCCTCTCTGCCTCGGTCTGGATGTTTTCTGACTTACCTTGTAGTTCACTAATCTCCCTTTAGCTGTTCTAAACTGCTGTTGAATCCATTTATTGAGCTCTTAACTTCAGTTATATTTTCAGTTGTAGAATTTCCATTGGATTAATTTTTACCACTTCAGATTCTCTGCTGAAATTCTCCCATCATGTGAGATACCTTCCTGAACTTTTATTAATTTCAGTTATTTTATTTTATTTTATTTTATTTTATTTTAATGTCTGCATTTCCTTTGAGGGTCTTTCTGTCATCTTTATTTTTTTCTCATAGCTTTGGTTGAATCCTGGCTATTGTGTATGAAGAGTCCTAGGGATAATTTGAGGTTCTGAATAATTTATTTTCCTCGAAAGAAAATGTATTCCAGGGGCACCCGGGTGACTCAGTTGGTTAAGCATCTGCCTTTGGCTTGGGTTGTGATCTCAGAGTCCTGGGATCGAACCCCACATGGGGGTCCCTGCTCAGCCCACTCATGTTCTCTCTTGCTCGCTCTCTCTGTCTCTCAAATCAATGAATAAAATGAAAGAAAGAAAGAAAGAAAGAAAGAAAGAAAGAAAGAAAGAAAGAAAGAAAGAAAGAAAGAAAGAAAGAGGGAGGGAGGGAGGGAGGGAGGGAGGGAGGGAGGGAGGGAGGGAGGAAAAAACAAAAGGTAAAGGCAAGCAATTATGCTGCAGGTGCCCTGACCCACCCTCTCAGGACTGATGAAGAGCCTTCCTTCCTTGCACTGATGCAAACTTTTTGTCTCTTCAGCCCCATGAGATGGCAGGAAGCTCTGCTTGGGGTCTCAGCTTTTCAGCCTCTGCTTGTAAATAGATGCTTTAGGGGAGAAGAGGCGCCCAGTGTCAGTCTCACTCACCTGTCACAGTTTCCCTCTTACTGTGATCGTGGCCCCTCAGATCCCCGTCACCTGGGACTTCTCCAAGGGTAACAAATAGATTTTAAAAAAGATATCTGTTGTCAGGTTTTTGAAGTTGTTTGCAGAAGCAGAGGGTTAAACCTTGGTCCTGTGTTGGAAAGGCCAGATCCCCGAACAGAACCCAGTGCCCTCCATGACCCATCCCAAAGACTCTTGCCTTTTAGCCAGCTTAATTGGACATTAGTGATAGGCAGCCTCTTCAGTAGGTCTCACAGAGTGCATCTGGGAGGACTTGGACCTAACTTAACAGTGCTGGGCATACCATTCTTGGTTACAGATGTGAAAACTGAGGCCCGGAATGGGACAGTCCACAGTGACTAGGACCCAGGTGTTCTTTAAAAAGAAAATATATATATATATATATATATTTATTCATGAGAGAGAGAGAGAGGCAGAGACACAGGCAGAGGGAGAAGCAGGCCCCATGCAGGGAGCCTGATGCAGGAGTCGATCCCAGGGCTCAAGGATCACGCCCTGGGTCGAAGGCAGGCACCAAACCGTTGAGCCACCCAGGGATCCCTGGACACAGGTGTTCTTGACTGCTGGACCAGTGCTCAGCTCCAGGGGATGCAGGGGATACTGGGCGACATGGCAGCTACAGGGGATGGGGGTGCTCGTGGCCAGCCCCCGGCCAGTGCTGCTGTTTCCTGTTGTGCTGGCCTCTCCCTATCCCCCTGCCAGGCCCTCCCTGTTCCAGTGTCTTCTGAAGCCTTGGCAGCATGGGGGCCGGGGGAGCATGGGTACTGTTGCTATTGCTGCGAGCCCCAAGTACGGCTCCCAGCAGCCTCCCCTCTCTCCTGCTGATGTCTCACAAAACCCTGGAGCTGGTTTCTGAGAGTGATAGAGGTTTTTTTTTCTCACTAATCCCTGCAGTTTTGTGCCCACACCCAGTTTCTCTTCCGCTTCCCCCCCCCACCCCACCCTGTCATAAACGAAAGTCAGTGCACCAAATCACGTGCTGCTTCTCTCCCAGTGCCTCAGCAGTGTTCACCAGCATCAGAGGGTAGAGGACAGAGTGGGTATCCCTGCTCCTTAGTGGGCAGCAGGCTTCCTGCACACAGGCTCTGCTGGCACTGCCCCCTGGCCTTGGGGCCCTGGCAGAGAAGGGGGCTAGTGGAACTGGTACATTAGGGGACCGATTGGCATCAGAAAGCTCCCTAGTTCGCACCAGTGTCTCTTGCTAGGTGTGTGGCCACAGACACCCCTGCCTCAGCTCTAGACAGGCTCCTGCCCCAGGGGCTGGGGACTACAGCAGTGCTCTTGCCTGACAGACAGAGGGTTCGGTAGGTGACAGACTGTGGGAGCCCTTGTGCTGGGACAGTGTTTCCTCTCCTGGAGGCTCAGGACCTCTGAAGGGCCAGCAGTCCCCGAGGGGTTCAGAAAAGGTAGTGAAGAAGGAGGACCCACATCCCAGCTCCCCTGGCTGGCGTGTCGGGCCACTTCTGCTTCCCCGAGGCCAAAATGGCCTGTCCCATGGTCTCTGTCTTGCTTTTTATTCAGCAGCAGCGCTCAGAAACTGTCACTGCCACCCCGAGCAGTTAGCCAGGGCCCCTCCTCCTGCAGCAAGCCTCTGGTGGGGAGCGGCCCGGGGTTAAGGAGGTACTGAGCAATGAGACCCCACACGTGGTGCGGCCAGCCCTACCCAGGAGATGCGACTTCCCTCTCATGGGCCAGACCCACTGTGTGATCCTGGTCTCTTGTGGCTCCCGTCCCTTCAAAGAACACTTGGGGTCTAGCTGGTGACATTTTAAAGACCTCTTGCCACTGTGAGGCTGGGCTGTTCTCCTGGCTGTCCCTGTGACCTGGCTTTTCCAGCCTTGCACACTGTTGTCCCCATGCTTCTCTCTTGCCAGCTGCTCCTAGCACATGCACACCCTTGCCACCAAGAGTTGAGGTCTGTACTGGTGGCTCTGGGCCACCAAGGCTCTTGAGAAAGAGGCCAGACCTAGAGAACCAACATGTGACCACCGGTGTCTCCGTGGGGAGAAACTCAGCCCAGGAGCTCTGACCCTGACTCCAGGTCAGGTCAGGTGCTGCAGCCACTGCCATGGGACCTGAGGACGGGGTGCGGTCTCTCTGACCCTCAGTTACCCTCATTGTCAGATGGAGCTCCTCCAGGAGAGACAGCCAGTGAGTGCTCCCCAGGCCCCCCTGGTCCCAGCTCTGGGTGAGAGCCCTCAGTGCAAGCAGAACCTTGGCAGAGCAGCCTGCGTGGGGCTGAGGCTTGGAGTGGGGGGGGCCTGTCCCGGTGGTCCTTCTGTTCCTGTGCTTTCCCTCTTCGCCAGGCTGTCTCCAGAAGAGAATGGAGGAAAGTCGAGAAGGCATACACTAGCTTATGTGGCTTCATTGCAGTCTGACCTGCAGATGTATGGGGTGAACACAATGGCCATACACTCCATCTCTGCTTGTTATTTGCTTTCGTAGGGAACTCAGGCTGCGGAACTATGTCCCAGAGGATGAGGACCTGAAGAGGAGGAGGGTGCCACAGGCCAAACCAGTTGCGGGTAGGTGGACTGCTTTTCTCCACCTCTGCTCTGAGGCACCATCAGATGCCTCCACCTTGGCAAGTGTCGCCCTCTCTCAGAGAATATCTGGCAGTGCCAGGGCTGGAAGCTGGGCCCCTGGGACCCTCTAGCACCGCCTCACGACCACGCAGAAGTAATCAGGGTTGAGTGACGGCAGAGAGGCGGTCAGGGCACCCGAGGGTCTTCCAGGGATCTGCAAGCAAAGAAGCCACATCCCCTGGGAGGACCTCTCTGGACTGAGAAGTGGAAGTGGCCCCGAGGCCTTGGGACAGTGGGGACAAGGGGGAGGGTGGAGATGGTGCTGTGGGTACTTGGAGGTCACAGTGAGACCCTGAAGAAGGCCGACCATTCAGGTGCTCAGAGAGCAGTGGGCTGGCAGCATCCAGGCACAGAGGGTGGGAGAGGTGTTCCTGCCGGTGAGGCGGGGGCCCGGGCCTGGGGCTGCCCATCTCCCACGGTGTGGGGAACAGCATAGCAGCCAGGAGCTTCTGGAGATGCTCCACACTGGAGAGGCAGAGTACTTCTTATCACATAGTTCCTGGTCCTGTTTTTACCCCTAATTTTTGTTATCAATTTTTAATTAGACAAATAAATGAATAATGAATGATTTATCTTGCAAACGTAGTGTTGCCCATTCAGCCACACCCCAGTCTGCTTCCCCACATTCTTTTCACTGAAATTCACGCACTTCCTAGGTGATTTGCTTCATGGTTTGGGCCACACTGGGGTGGGGACAGAGGGCAGGACAGGGAGATGGGGTGGGGAGTGGTCCCATGGTGCAGGGTCAGCACCTGTGGCTGAAGGCAGGTGAGGCAACACATGGCAGCAGTGAGGGGGTGGAGGGAGCCCCTGGAGCCCAGATTTGTTGATATCTGGCCCTACAGGGGCAGGCCCTCCCAGTTTCCCACCTAGAGGCCCTGTGCACTGTCAGCCGCTGGGCATAGCTGAGAGGTGCGTGAGGTAGCCCTCCCTGGGGTGGCTGTCGCCCTGGTCCTGGGAGTACATACCTGAGTGGGATGGGAAGAAAAGCCAGTCCAGGGTCCAGGGGACATCGCCCAAGCCTAGGAACCCTTGTAGATTAGGGGAAAGCCAGTCCTCTTGGTTCTTCACAAAGCCATGCTGTGGATGGATATACCCAGGTGGTTCCCTCCTTTCCCAGCAGGGTAGATAGCCAGGGAGCACCAGCCACGCTTCCTGGCTGCAGGTCTGTGCTCTGCGGACTCCTAGCAGCTGCCCCCCCCAGAGGCCCTTCCTTTACCCCATGATTGCTTTCATCCCAGGAAACCCAAGGCCTCCCTCCAGGCCATCTTTGCAGAGTCTTCACCTCTGGAAGTTGGGGGCTCTGGGGGAGGGGCCAAGAAAGCCCAAGGTCTCTGCGGGGTCCTCCCTGCACCCTCTAGGGCTTCCTGGGGCACCAGGGTGTGCTTCAGGTGGAGTGGTGGCTCCTTACTGACAGGCCTGTTGTTGTCTTGCACCCTCTAGTGGAAGAGAAGGTGAAGGAGCAGCTGGAGGCCGCCAAGCCAGAGCCCATCATTGAGGAAGTGGTGAGAGCCCTGAGTGCGGGGGTGGGGGCTTGGTGGGCCCTCCTCTCCTCCCCTAGCTGCTCTCCTCCCTCCACTTCTCTCTTCCATCTCCCCCCTCTCTCCCCTCCCCTCCCTCCCTTTTTTCCACTTGCTACCTCTGTGTCCTGGAGCTGGGCCCCTCCCATCCTGGCATGTGTCTCCTTCTTCCCCAGGACCTGGCCAACCTTGCGCCCCGGAAGCCTGACTGGTGAGTGCTCCAGGCAGGGCAGTCCTCCCAGTAGGGAGATGGACAGTGTGGACACATAGCTACACGACATAATTCCTGCGCAGAGTACCTCCTGACGGGACATAAAGGAAGAGTGTGAGAGAAGGCTTTAGGGGTGACACCCAGGGGATGGGAGGGACTCAGGGAGAAGAGGAGCAGCAGTCCCCGCCAGAAGTCCCTTCTGCTAGGGCAAGGATCTGCCCCACCTCAGAGAGCTGTGTTTGAGCAAGGCCAGACTTGGCCCTCTAGGAGCCAGGATGGAGGCAAGATGATGGGACAGGCAGACAGATTTCTGTCCCGGTTCTGCCATCAACTGGCCTGTGCTGCTTTGGCCTCAGTTTCCTCTTCTGTGATGTGGGGCTACTCCTTCTTCCCCAGTGCCCCTGTGCCCAGGCTGAGGGCTGTGTGGCCTAGGGCTTGTGTTCTGCTTGACCTCGGGCCAGAGGCACAGGCCACGTCCCTCTTACCTGTGATCCTGTGGCAAGTACAGTACTGCCAAAGGTGTTCTCATTTGTGGAAACAAAAGCCTGGGGCATGCATCCTAGGAATCCCTGAGCCGGGAGAGTAGGCTGTGTGCACACTTCTGGAAGCTCCTGGTGGTGAGGGTGGGCATGTGGCTGGAGGAGGAGCAGAACCCACCGTGGGCCAGGGCAAGTCACTCCCTGATGGTGCCTGAGGGGACTAGACCAAGAGAGCAGGCCCTCTGCCACACCTTGACCCAGGCCTGTGTTTGGTGGGTGTGCGGCACCAGTCGGGGCAGGCGGGCTGACGCTGGGTCTTGTAGGATGCAGGAAGGGAGAGAGGAACACCCTGGCCTCCTCCCCGGGGCGGTCTCCTGAGGCCCCTGAATGTGATTCCTAATGGCAGAGGGGCTCAGGGAGGGGAGGGTCCCAAGGCCACACCCAGCCAGACTTCACCTTCTGGCTTCCTTGCACCTGCCTGCTCCAGGGACCTCAAGAGAGACGTAGCCAAGAAGCTGGAGAAGCTAGAGAAGCGGACCCAGAGGGCCATCGCTGAACTGATCCGTAAGTGTGGGGCCTGGCAAGGAAGGATCCCTGCCCTGGGTGGGGAGCAGGTGGCCCAAACAAGGGCCCCTCCCCACTCCTTCTGTCTGCCACCCACCCAGGTGAGAGGCTGAAAGGCCAGGAGGACAGCCTGGCCTCTGCAGTGGACGCTACCACCGAGCAAGAGGCCTGTGACTCTGACTGAAGCCCGCATATCTCCTCCCCGTGTCAGGCCTTTCCTGTGGGCAGCCCCGGACTGAGGTGGGGCTGGGCTTGCTCTTACCTCCAGTTTGGCTCCAGGGCCACACATGGCCCTTGCCGTGGGGTGAGGCACCTCCTTGTCTCCTAAGTGGTCCCCACCGCCCCGAGGGGCAGAGCCAGCGGCAGCCCAATGGGCTTGCTGTGTCTCTACATAAGTATGTATTTTGAACTTTCTTTTCTCTCTAGAAATAGAAGCAAGCAGACCCATGTGTGTGGCAGAACCTATTAGACATTTCTGGGTCCTTGGGGCGCTGTGGGTCGGGCCCTGAGGTGGAGCCACAAAGGCCCAGACCTGACCTTGTGAGTGCAGGTCCTTGTCCAGTCAGATGGTCGTGTCAAAACCTGTGGGTGCTGGAGAGACAGGGTCAGAGAGCCTTCTTTAAGCCCTCCCACGGTCCCAGACCTCCCAGGAGTCTCTGGTCAGCCTGAGAGGCTCCCGCTCTGTCCTCTAGGGATCCCCTCACAGTGTGGAGAGGGCAGGGAGAGGCTGGGTATGCGGAGGGGATGTGCTGTGCCTCGGCAGTCCATCCGGGGCTGCTTCAGACCAGGGCCCCTGGCACTGTTACATCTCATCCTGCACAACACTCGGCAGCCCCACTCCCTCCATCCCAGTCAGAGCCAGACCATGGCTTCTCGGGGACAGGGCCCCTGGATTGGGGATACCCTCCTGTATCCTAGGGTAATACAAACTGGGTCCCCAGGGTCCTGGTGTTATGATTGCAGGCCTCCTCTGTGGAGCTGACTCTTCAGAGTGACTGGCCACAACTCTGACTCCAGGTACCTGAGACCAACTAGAATTTAATCTCCAGAATGATAACACTTTTGAGTTTCCTTCGGCGTTTCCCCTTAAGTGTCCCACCCTGCCCTGTGTCACCCCAGTGCGTCCTTCCCCCTGTGCTGAGTTGGGCTGACTCTGGCCAGCAACGCCAAGAACTCAGGCCATAGGGCTGGAGCGAGTGCGTGTACACAGACCAACACACTATACAATAAAGTAGATGCTTTCAGCTAAATGTATGCAACTACCCTGAGAAGGTAACTTGTACAGAGAGGGAGCAGAAACCTGCAGGCACTACTGAGGGCTGACGTGGTAGGTGGCTGGCCAAGCAGCCAGTAGGACCAGGACTCTGATTCGCACACAAGTAAAGGGTCACAGGTGCCCGCGGGCAGCAGGGCTGGAGCCAGACTCCCTCTGCATCATGGTGTCTAGAAGTATCTTTCCCTTCCTGGGAATAAAGGATGAGAAGGTGCCCCCCGGCCCTAGGACTGCCTTAGACAGCATGATGCTCGTCCTTGGCAGCGTAGGACTCGGACACCTGGGGACGGGGCCCAGTGAGGTTCCCACTCTGTACTGGCGCTGTGACTAGAGTGTGGCCAGCCCCACAGAATGAGAGCCCTCAGAGCTGAGGAAACATTTGCTTCTGCATTTACAGCTCTGTATGCCTACAGAAAACCGCCGTGCACGGAGAGAACAAAACAAACACCATCACACTCGATGGGCATGAGTACAAAAATGACAGGATCCGTGAGGAGATCTAGTGCCTTGAGGAGAGGCTACCACCCTACCAGGTGGAAGAATTTATACCTAACAAGCTGATAAACTGACTTTCTAACATGCTTCCTCTAAAATGAGCATTTGTTATATCACCAGAGAGAGAAAAGAGGCACTGAACCCACTAACTCAGGAACAGGGACTAGGTATGAGGACAATCTGGTGAGTAATCCTGGAAACAAAGAATGTTTACTAAACTAAGCAACTCACAGATGCACATACATACACATAATAAGCAACTCACGGGAGGAGCTAACTAGTAACAATCAAGGGATTGATAAACTGGAAGTAAAAGCTGAAGCTCCCGAGAGTTTGAGAGAAGAGGGTCTGTCAAGAACGTGAAGTACTGCCACGTGTCCTTGAGCAGACAGGAGATCGGGAAAAGGAAACTAGAGAAAGGAGAAAGAAGAAATAGCTGACCATTTCTGTCTCTGGCATTATGGTACAACAGTTGCCTGAACTGATCCTCCCTTTGCAAATAGCTAAAATACTAAGTACATAAATAATCACGACAAATACTTCTTAAATGCATCACTGACCTGGCAAGAAAGTAAGGAACACTCAAGAAGGTAAGAGAAGCACCAGGACGCTGAAGCCCGACATTTAACTTGAAGGTATTTGATAAACCAAATGAAACAGCATGGTTTTGGGGTCCTCGGTACCTGGGGCCAAGCTAACCCAGTACTTGTGCATAATGAGGAGTCCGGTCAGAGAGCCCTCCAGAAAGCTGGGCTTCCCGAAGGGCAGTACCCTCTGAATTAACAGTAGATCTTGGCATCCCAGGAGAAAGTTTAACCTTGCCGCTGACTGGAGTGAAAAAAGTTCTCCCTCCTAAGGACGGAGCAGGCCCTCACATGGGTTTGCACATGAGAAATCTCAAGCCCGAGTGTAAGTGGTCCCAGAAAGTGGTGGTCTCAGATGCTTGATAGACATGCAGATCCTTCCTGAATGAACCTTTATTCTTTGCAGTCCTCAGTGAGCCCCCAGGAATAAAGTTCCAGGAAAAGTGAGCAGCTTCTGGAAAAGGTCACCAGATCTACTAGGCAGCAAGGCACTGAGAGCAAAGGACATCAGGAGGGACGTGGTAGACTTGCAAAGGATTCACACATTAGAATTACCAGGCACATGATTTAAATGTTTAAAAGTGATGTAAGAAGGCAGCCCGGGTGGCTCAGCAGTTTAGCACCACCTTCTGCCTGGGTTGTGATCCTGGAGACCTGGGATCGGGTCCCATGTCAGGTTCCCTGCGTGGAGCCTGCTTCTCCCTCTGCCTGTGTCTCTGCCTCTCTCTCTGTGTCTCTCATGAATAAATAAATAAAATCTTTTTTAAAAAATAAAAATGACATAAAAACTAAAAGGCTTGAAAAGAGGAATCGATTTGCTAAAAAACCCAAGTGATGTTCTGGAAATAAAAATTGTCATAGCGGGATCCCTGGGTGGCACAGCAATTTAGCGCCTGCCTTTGGCCAAGGGCGCGATCCTGGAGACCCGGAATCGAGTCCCACATCGGGCTCCTGGTGCATGGAGCCTGCTTCTCCCTCTGCCTATGTCTCTGCCTCTCTCTCTCTCTCTCTCTGTGTGTGTGACTATCATAAATAAATAAAAATTTAAAAAAAAATTGTCATAGCAATTAAAAGCCCTGTATCTGTGAATTAGAGCTAAAGAAACAGATTGATAACCTAAAACAAAAAGCTCAGAGAGACAGAGGACAGAGTGGGAAGAGCCAGCATAACATGTGATTCAGGTTCCAGGAGGGAGAAAAAGCAAAAATGAGGAGGACGTAATTTTTTTTTAATGGCTATGAACAACTCTTCAAAATCACCAATCCAAAAAAAAAAAAAAAAAAAAAATCACCAATCCACCGATTCAAGGAGGTCAACAAATCCCAAGCAAGGCAACAAAAAGAACTCAACACTCAGATGTTCTATGTCTTGATATGGATGGTGATTAATTAGTATATTCACTTTATGGCTATTCATTGAGCCACACCCATATGATTTATACACTTTTTGTATATTACAGCTCAGGAAGCAAGGTCACTTACAGTTTTCTCATATCTTGGATTACTCAATTACTGTATTCAAATTCCATACAAAACTCAGCGGCTTGAAGCAGAGCTTTAATATCTGACAGTTCCTGTGGGTCAGGAATTCAGGAGTGGCTTACCTGGGTAGTTCTAGCTTGGGGTCTCTTTGGGATTGGAGTCAAGATGGCCCCTAGGGCTGCAGTCATCTGAAGGCTTGGCTGGGGCTGGAGGCTGTGCTTCCAGGATGGCTTCCACCCTCGGGATTACTCATGGAAGCGTGGCGTGCACGCAAGTGCTTGCCACAGGGATCTCTCCACAAGACTTGTGCAATTGCTTGTGTGCTATGGCAGCTGGCTTTCCGCAGAATGAGTGATACAAGGCAGAAAGCAGGGGAGGGTTTTAGGGCCTTTTATGACCTGGTCTTGGAAGTGATATCCTGCCACATTGTATTGTTAGAAGCAGGTCATTACATCCAGGCCACACTTAAAGGAGAATTAGATTCTGCCTCTGGAAGGGAGGTCTGAGAATTTGTGGATGTATTTTAAAACCACTGCATACCTAGACAATAAGTGCAATAAGTTGGCAGGACAAAAAGAAGACAAGATGTTAAAATTAGAAAAGATGCGTTACCTTCTTTTTTTTTTTTTTAAGATTTTATTTATTTATTTATTCATGAGAGACACACAGAGAGAGAGGCATAGGCAGAGGGTGAAGCAGGCTCCATTCACCGGGAGCCCGATGTGGGACTTGATCCCGGGTCTCCAGGATCATGCCCTGGGCCGAAGGCAGGCGCCAAACCGCTTAGCCACCCGGGCTGCCCAATGCATTACCTTTTAAGGAGCAAGACAGCAGATGTCTCAACCACAGCCAGTGTTAACTGAAACTATACCTTCTGGTATCAGTGTTAACTAGACGAAAGGAAATTGTCACCTTAAAATTTTATACCTGAAGAAAATAGCTTACAAGTACAACATATTTTTAGACAAACCCAGAGATTTTGTCACCAGAAGATTCACTTGAAAAGAAAGCATTTTAGGGTAATGAAAATAGTCTACAATATTGTGGTCGTGGTTGCACAAATCTGTGAGTATGCTTAAAGCCATTGAACTGTACACTTCCAGTGGGCAAAGTGTATGAGATCTATCTTAATAAAGCTGTTTTTTTAAAAAAATAAGTATTCTCCTTTAAAAAAAGAGTTCACAGGGATCCCTGGGTGGCGCAGCGGTTTGGCGCCTGCCTTTGGCCCAGGGCGCGATCCTGGAGACCCGGGATCGAATCCCACGTCAGGCTCCCGGTGCATGGAGCCTGCTTCTCCCTCTCTCTCTCTCTCTCTCTGTATGACTATCGTAAATAAATAAAAAAAAAAAATTAAAAAAAAAAAGTTCACAGTATGTCTTCAGACTGAAATGAGGCACAATTCAAGATGGAAAATCTGAGATATGAGTAGGAATGAAGAGAAAAAAAGTGGAAATCTAAATAGGTATTGACCTTGTGGGGAATAAAAAAAGGAATGAAAAAAATTACCTGAAAGAAAGCAAAGAGAGGGATCCCTGGGTGGCTCAGAGGTCGGACGTCTACATCGAGCTCCCTACATGGAGCCTGCTTCTCCCTCTGCCTGTCACTCTGCATCTCCCCCGCCCCCCCCGCCATGAATAAATAAATAAAATCTTTAAAAAAAAAGCAAAGAGAAAAAGTGGAACACATAAATGAATCCAAAAACATCATTAATTATAATCAGTGCCTTTTTAAAAAAACTAAATCTGATGCTAGTTTTAAAAAGCCTAAACTCAAAGATTGCAAGGAAAGGGATTTGAAAAGCTCTATGAAGAGGTGTCTGGGTGGCTCAGTCGATTAAGCGTCAGCTTTTGGCTCAGGTCATGATCACCAGGTCCTGGGATCGAGCCCTCCTGTGGGGCTCCGTGCTCAGCGGGAGTCTGCCTCTCCTTCTGCCTCCCACTCCTACTTGTGCGCTCTGTCAAATAAATAAACTCTAAAAAGAAAAAAAATACCTTTATGAAGCTCAGAACCAAGGAAGGAAGCCAAGGTGGCTGCGGAGACCTTGGGCCCGAAGTGTGATTAGGTATTCTGTGTGCAGCCCTGAGCTGTCATCTGTCGCACGGGGAGAGCTAAATAATCCAGCCGCTTTGGAGAAGTAGAACACGTGCACACCCCGTGCGTGACCAGCAGTTCCACCATTAGTGTCTTAGGGAGCTGTTGCACAAATGTACCAGGAGACGGGGACAGGGTGCTTGTAGGAGCATTCTTCATAATAGCTTGTGCGCACACTTCACACACACGTGCATGCACACGCACACATTAAATCATGTAAGGAAAGAAATGGAGTATGAGCCATTTGTGTGATGCTCCAGAACGGGCAGAGTGAAACGAGGTACTCTACGGGTAGGCCTGTGGGTGGTGAAGTCGGTGCAGAAAAG